TAGTTCAAAAGACAAATTAAACTTACTTATGGTCTTTGGTTGTTAAATTAAGTAAAGATTTTACTCGTTGTTTTAGGAAATAAATCGAAGAAAGAGAGAAACAGTGGTTTTAAAATCAATATACAATTTCTGAAAACATTAAATCTAGAACTAACTACCGACCACGAAAGTTCTAAACCACAAAGAATTCTGATTGGTAAAAGATTGTTAATATTCAACATGCTATACATTTTTTGTTATATTAGCTTTCAATATATTTTATAATCAGTACTTTCAAGGTGAAATATTAACACACTAATGTATACATGTCACACTGGCTGAGAGGTGATGTTGAAGGCGTATAAGATCAAAATTCTGGGTTCGGTCCCTGCTTCGCTGTGCGTCGGTCCAAGGTTATGCCTGCACAGTTAGTTGTTACTGTTTTAAGGACACAGTACTGATTCTCGTTTTGTCAAACCCGCTCTTTATACTATCCTCACCTCTTTCTACCCCCCTCCATCACCCTCATCTTGAACTTATCTCTATAAACTGAATATCATTAAGAATTAAAAGCAACCCGACGAACGTATATTTTGTGATATCCTGCAATTCTATTTGCTGTATAGTATGCATGTGATTTTCAAGAGTCGGCTCTAGTGACTGCATACTGCAACATTTTGATAAATCGGTAGGCCATGAATGTCAGTCGTTTGTACGGAGGTATACATGGGCTAATAATTGTCTAAGAAGATTAAGATTCAGGTTATATTTTAAAGATTTCCAAAACTTTTTTCTATCATATAAGAAGTTTCATCGTTAAACTTGCTCCCTAGTGGCACAGCGGTATGTCTGCGAGAACTTACAATGCTAGAAACTGGGTTTCGATACACGTGGTGGGCAGAGCCCATTGTGTAGCTTGGTGCTTAACTACAAACAAACAATCGTTAAACTTATCAAGAATGTATCTTTAGAGCAAAAAGAAAAAAAAATAATACTCTAAATTCCAAATATTGTGTTAGAAAATTATGGTCTGTTCAAAGTTACTTTTTCTCTTCCAGGAAGTCGCCAAGAGCTGCAGAAATGATAGAGAGAACTGTCTTTATCTCAGTAACTTGAACGGAATAGCAACGGAAGGATGTTCACACCGGTTTGTAGATGTAAAATACTGCCAGTGTCATCTGAAGACGGAAAAAAGGTTCATACACATCTAGAAGCGGACCTGGATTAGGAAGCTGGTACAGATTTGTTTACTTGGTAAAGGTAATTTAAAAACTTTTAACTAGAACAAATTATTAGGTGAACTTAAAAATCTGTAATATTGGTAGAAGTAAATACAAGTAACATAGTGATGGTTGGTAAATATGATTAATGATGAGTAATTCGTCGATAATTGGAATGACTGTGATTTAAAATGAACGTATTGAAAATGTGGTTAACGAACACATTATTTTCAATCCAAATTTATATTCAAAAAACTGAGAGAGAAAGAGTGAAAAAAACAACTTTTGTAAAATTTGTAAGCGGTGCAACATGTTTCTGTACTTACATCTGTAAGTGGTCCAACATGTTTCTGTACTTACATCTGTAAGTCGTCCAACAGGTTTTTGTACTTACATTTGTAAGCGGTCCAACAGGTTTTTGTACTTACATTTGTAAGCGGTCCAACAGGTTTTTGT